GCGCCGGCGGATGCGCCCCTTGCTGTGCGCGCCGTGCCGGTCCAGCGCGCGCCCGTACGCCTCGCGGCTGCTCAGCGGCTTGCGGTACTGGATGCTGGCGCTGTCGTACGAGTACATGGTGGCCTTGGCGTCGCTCACGCCCGTGAGCACTTCCGAGCCGCTTGTCTCGTTCCTGATTTCCAGGGTGCTGAGGAGAATGTTGCCGTGGGCGTCGACCTGACGGAGGAAAGACAGGCTCAGGCACAACTGCCAGGACATTCGCCCGTTTTCCTAAACTTGTAACTGATGATACGCGTGAGGCTCGTTACACACTGTCTCCCTAGACGTCTGGCTCTGCGTGCCTCCCGGACACGGAAACTCTATCTACCTATCTATCAATCTAACATCTATCTGTGTATCTATGTATGCATCTGTCTCTCAGTCGTCTCTGTCTACAATCTATTTATCTAGTCCATCATATAATCAATCAATCTAATCTACTGTTTACGATCTATCTAACCCATCATCTCATCTACCGGCCATTTATTATCTGTCTAATCTAATATATCCATTCATCCATCCATCCATCATTTATCACCACTCACAGAACAGGAGTACATATGTGTGCGTGTGTGCACACATGTGTGTCATGGTGTTTTCTGTGAGCTCGCATAAGAATATACAATATATAGTTATTATATATAATACTCACATGTTATATATAAATATATGAAATGTATAATTTTTGTTATTAATAACTACCATTTACTGAATCCATATATATATATACATTATGTGTAAACATATATTTTGTAACAAGAAAAGATGCCATATGTATATGAAAAAATGCCATATATATGTACACACAAAAGTGATACATGGAAACATTTAAAACTGGAAGCAATCAGGAAACAAAAATTAAATAGTAAAAATTCATAAATTCACCTTCAGAGTCCATTATTTTTAACATCTTGCTAACCCACCTCTTTTTTTCTATTCATATATACTTACAAACACAGGCTCACCTAGTGTATTTTGCTTTGCAATCTGCTTTTGTAGTTAGTAGTATAGTCTGGTCACCTTTCCATGTTAATAAATATTCTTCTGTGGCATTATGTATCATAGCTGACATGGATAAACCATAATTGAATCAGTCTATCTTTGGATGTTAAGGCTTGCTTTACTTTTGTACTATTAAATAAACAAACCTGCAAAGAATATTTTTTAGCTAAATCTTTATGCATATCCATAATTATTTCCTCCAGCTAAATTACCAGAAGTGGGATGGATTCACGTGTTGAAACGATATGCCTGATTATACTTTAGTTTTGTGTCTCCACCATTGTTCACTGTTACTTCCTACCATTCCAGTGATACGTCTCCCAGGCTTCCTGGCTTTTCTCTATGCTATGCCCACACATACACTTGTGGAACAACAGGAATCGTGAGTACCTTTGGCCTACAGTGTGGCTTTAACTTCAAGCTGATGTACTTTGCAAACTGATTTATCTGGAGGGGATATGGCTCATTCATGCACATGAGTCTGAAGTACTTCCAAGGGCAGTCCAGGCAGCTGTGTTTAAATTTAGTTATTAGCACAGTGCCTGACTTATTGTAGGTGCTCTGTAAATACTTTCAGATGACATTGACCTCAGTGAACACTTATGGAAAGACCAAGGTTTGGGTAGGTAAGCAAATGACCTACTGAGGAAGAAAGAGAGAAAAGCATAGAAAGAGGCAAAGACAAACGGAGAAAGAAAAGTATCGAGAGTGAGATGTGATGGTGGTGAGACAGGAAGGAAGGAGGTAGGGCACAACCATTAAAAAAATGACATAGCCGTTGAGGCTACAACACAGAGTGGTTAGAACCAACTAGACCCAAAATGGTGGAAGATTTGACTTCTAATAGACCTTCAGCCTGCTTATACGCTCATTGTAATACACTAGCGTGCTAAATGACATACTCACAGGTGCCATGACAGTTCCCAGGCTAACCATAAAAGGTCAAAAAGTTGGTGGTAACCCAATTCCAGGAGATCCCTGCCCCTATCCTTAAAATAGTTGGGATGATCCTCCCACTTGCTAGCACATGAAATTACCCAGCCCATAAAAACTAACCACACGCTCACCCGAGGATGGCTCTCACTTTCTTAGATGACCTTGTGCTCTGGAGTTGCTCTCCCTTCAAGACAAACTGCACTGTCTATGGAATGTGTATCTCTCTAAATAAACTCATTTTCACTTCACTATGGCTCTCTCTTGAATTCCTTCCTGCGTGAAACAAGAACCTACTCTCTGGTAACAGTGGTACATCCATCACAGCTGAGATAACTAAGATTTATTGAGTGTCCACCATGTGCCTAGTACTATGGTAGATGCTTCATATATATTACTTGTTTAATACTTACAACAACAATCTGCCTCAAGTTTACACCCCAGTAAGTGCCAACCCATGTCTTGTCTATTTCCAAGCTTCTGAGCTTTTTTTTTTTTTTACTGAGAATGAACCACTTCACACCCCTCGACCATCACCACAACCTGCAGTGAAGTTAGTGATGCAGTCGATGGCTTTAAGCCTCAAGTTGATTAGAGAGAGAAGTGGTGGCTGAATCTGGCTTCTATTTCTCCCTCCATTCTCACCTATCACCGTTTCCCTCTGTGAAGGATTTTGCTCTGGTCTAACTGGGCTGCTCACTTTGCCCTCACTCAGCATACTTATTGGTTTCTTTATTCAAGGAGTTATTATTTATTTTGTTATTATTAGTAGTAATTACTATGTATTGAATCCTACTGTGTAATTGTCTCAGTCATTTTTCATCACACTATAAAATATATAATGTTATCCTAGTTCAGAAGATGGGGAAACTGAGGCTCAGATAGGTTAAGTAAATTGCCTAAAATCAAACCAATAGTAAGTACCCAATTTAGAATTCAAACATAGGATACTCTCTGTCTCAAATATCATTTTTTCCTCCTCATTGCAAATTCATCAATATGTTTTCCTCAAGGCTCAATTTAAATGCTTCTTCCTCTGTGTACCTTCCTTGGTTATAGTAACCTCAAGAAATCTCTCTTTCAACAAACCTTTATTGACTGCTTACTATGTGCCAGCTATAGTGCTAGGTGTCAAGGACATGTATATATATTTTTATATAATGTAGTGTAAACCTATGGTCGAAAAAGTCGTGTATATGGAAATTTATGTTACTAAAGAGAATGGCAGGGCTGAAGTGACAAGGAACAAAGCCCTGGATTTGTTAGAGAAGGGACAAGGACATCAGAAGATAAGGTGGTGCACGTGATTTTGCTAGGCACTGTGGAACAGTCAAGAGACTCATCAAACATGGACTTTAGTCCTTGAGCTAATAATCTCCTTAGAACAAGAGTAAGACGTAATATTGGAAGTGACAAGAATTTTTAACCAAATTCTAAATGGTACAGGATAGACCAGGTTTAGCGGCTCATAAAAGTGAGAAATCATTGGGGTTCATGGAAGGTTTCATGATGAGGTGGGGCTTGTATTGAGTCTTAAAGGACGGGTAGAGGACAGAATAAAGGACTGGGAGTTGAAAACTGTGTTCTTATCCTAGTTTTATTATTACTCAGTTTTCTCATCCATAAATGAAAGGTTTTCATTGGGTAATCTCAAGAGTTTGTTTCTAATTATTGACAGAGTTCGATTATGGAGAATATTCCAGGCAGAAGACACAGCATACTAGCAAAAAATACTTGCAAGACGGGATCACTTGCTTGGCACTGTATGCATCATTAAGTTACAGCATTATGAAATCCCTCTAAAGTAAACAAGTTACTAGAATTAGAATCAGCCAGTGAAGCATACAGATGCTCCTCATTAAACAGAAGTCATGACAAACAAGATACATTTTATCAAGATATTTTGCTTACTGTTAGCACAGACTCAAAGGTACTTATAAATTGCATAAGGTTTATTAGTTTGTGGAAATCCCCCCAAATATTCTGCCACTGAGCTAGAAATCATAATTTTAAGTGGCTTGACATATAAAATAATGAATCCGGTCCTGCAGCTGCCCATGAAAGCTGATTTCATTACTATTGCTAAATCAACATTACCATGTTCTCTGCTTGGAAAAATAAGGAGTGTTGTGTAACAGTTATTGCTCATCTCCATTCTTTCTCCTATATGGTCCAAAACTTATCCTAAAGGCTGGTGTTACAGAGTGTGTGTGTGCATTTGTGTTTGTGTGTGTGTGGGTGAGTGTGTGTATGATGGTGTGCATAAGTATTTCTTTAGAGGTATGAAATTTTATCCTCCACCCTCCAAGTTTTTGCTGCCTGGTGAGGTGGGTGTGTGGTAGCCACATCACTGCTACACCAGCAAATTTCTGGTTGGCTTTGCCTTAACCCCTGCCCTTTGGAGAAGAGTCGCTTTCCCTTCACCTCAACCATATAAAGACCCCCAAGGGATCCTTATATCCATATTGGGCACAGCTTCCCCAAAATACTATTCATGGGAAAAGTGACCATTGTCTATTCACGTCTTCAAAGCAGCAAGGAGCCACACTGGGCATTGCTTCAGCATCTTCAATGGTCAACCACTGCCCAAGTTAGTAAGGAAATATCAACATCTGAGTTGGGCACGATCCAGACACTGAAGATTTTTAAACCTTAAGACAGAAGGAAATGAGGCAAATGAAGATGCCAACACACTGGATTTCTAGGGCAGACACGGACTAACAGATTTCCTAAAGTGTTGCTAATGTTGTAATAATTGTTCAGTGAGATATCGCTCCCCACCCTTCCTGCTGCCATAAAGGAAGGGACTTCCCACTCCAATCCCCAGGAGACAAGCCACGGAAGGAACACTTCTGGCTTCTTTTCCATTTCTTCTCTTTCACTGCTCCCCACTGACCTATCTCATGGGTACATTTGGAAGGAGGCAGGCATACGTGGCTACGTGCCTTCTAGAATCTTGTCTCCCTCTGATCTGCTTCCAGAGAAGGTGCAATCCACAGGGCTGTGCTTTGAACCTGCTGCTTTGGGGGGGTAAGGCTTTCAGTTGTTCAGGGTTCCAGTGATTGGGGAGGTAAGTCTGTCTAATACTGAGGGCAATGGCTTTATTATATTAACCACATAATCGTCAAACCATCACTGATTCTTTCTTTTAAGTTTAGAGCATCACTGAACCTAAGTTTAGAGAAAATGAATATAATGGGGGGGGCAACAAATGAGCCTCTCTCTTCCCTTCAGATAGACGA